CCCTCCCTTGAATCTTTCCTCAGCTTCCCCAGTAGAACTACAGGCACATGCCACCATGCCCAACTAATTATTTCTTTTTTGTAGAGACTGGGGTCTTGCTATGTTGTCCTGGCCTCAGGTGATCCTTTTCTCTCAGCCTCCCAAAATGCTGGGATTACAGGCATGAGCCACCATGCCTAGCTAATTTGGTTTGTAAATATTTTATTTTAAAAGATTTTTTTTTTTTTTTGAGGTGGAGCCTTGCTCTGTCACCCAGGCTAGAGTGCAGTGGCACAATCTTGGCTCACTTCAACCTCCACCTCCCAAGTTCAAGTTATTCTCCTACCTCAGCCTCCCAAATAGCTGAGATTACAAGCATGTGCCACCATGCCCGGCTAATGTTTATATTTTTAGTAGAGACAGGGTACCACCATATTGGCCAGTCTGGTTTCAAACCCCTGACCTCAAGTGATCTGCCTGACTTAGCCTCTCAAAGTGCTGGGATTACAAATGTGAGCCACTGGGTACAGCCTGCAAAGAATTTTAGACTTACAAAAAAGTTGCAAAAATTATGTGGATTTTTTTTTTTTTTTTTTTTTTTGGACACAGGGTCTCACTGCCACCAGGCTGAAGTACAGTGGTATGATCACTGCTCACTGCAGCTTTGACCTTCTGGGGCTCAGGTGATCTTCCCATCTCAGCTTCCGGAGTAGCTGGGACTACAGGCACATACCACCATGTCCAGCTAATTTTTGTATTTTTTGTAGAGACAAGGTTTTCCATGTTGCCCAGGCTGGTGTCGAACTCCTGAGCTCAAGCAATCCACCCACCTGGTCTCCCAAACTGCTGAGATGACAGGAGTGAGCCACCATGCCTGGCCTGGTGTGGAGTTTATGTATACTTGTTATCCAGAAGCTCTAGTATTGATAACTTTTTTTTAAGAGATGGGGGTCTTGGCCAGGCATGGTGGCTCACGCCTGTAATCCCAGCACTTTGGGAGGCTGAGGTGGGTGGATTGCTTGAGGCCAGGAGTTCAAGACCAGCCTGGCCAACATGGTGAAACCCCATCTCTACTAAAAATACAAAAATTAGCTGTGTGTAGTGGCATGCATCTGTAATCCTAGCTACTCAGGAGGCTGAGCTAGGAGAATCACTTGAACCCAAGAGGTAGAGGTTGCAGTGAGCTGAGATTGCACTGTTGCACTTCAACCTGAGCAATAGATCGAGACTCTGCCTCCGCCAAAAAAAATTCCTGCTTTCAACAGATAGGGGTCTCACTATGTTGTCTAGGTTGGTCTTGAACTCCTGGGTTCAAGCCATCCTCCTGCTTTAGCCTCCTAAAGTGTCAGCATTACAGGCATGAGCCACTGTTCCTGGCCAATAACTTATTAATAGCCACAGAACAATGATCAAAACCAGGAAATTAACACGAAGTACAAACCTTATATGAAATTCACTTGTTTTTCTAGTGATGTTCTTTTTCTGTTCCAAGACTTAAGCCAGGTTCCCACACTTGAACTTAGTTGATATGTCTCCTTAGTCTGGGGAAGACTCGTAATAGAGGCTGTAAGAGCAGTGAGAAAATTGCTATTGAAGGTTGGAGAAATCGTGTTAGTAGCAGCAAAATGTTTGAAAACCGTTGTTGCCAAATATATGGTAAAACGTAGAAGACAGAGAGTGTACCTAATAAACTTGTGGATTTGGCAACATTCAGGCTGAATGTTCAGAGTGTCGGTTGGCTTCTTTTAGGGATGTACAAGGATATACAAGTGATGTATGATGATATCACAAGAGACAGAGATGTGTTAAAAAAGGAACTATTTCATTTTTTAAGCAGAGTCTCTTTATGCCAGAAAGACTCTTAAAGTAAGAAATGGCCTCAAGGCCCTGCCTGTAGAATTGGCCTCAAGGTAAAGATCCTATCAAGGTGTTAAGACCTCTAAAATATTTAAGATACTGTCTCACATCTACACAAAAGGTCTTCTAAGAATCTTAAGGGCTGTCCCACAGTAGCCACCTCTACAAGTCCACAGTAGAGAGAGGTTTTTATAAATTTAAATTTTTAATTTTTTTCAGAGACAGAGTCTCTCTATGTTTCTTAGGCTGGTCTCAAACTGCTGGCCTCAAGCAATCCTCCCACCTTGGCCTCCCAAAGTGCTAGGACTACAGGCAGAGAGGTTTGTTTTTGAAAGAATTACAGATGTTGCTTTGTGGGCAAAAAGTGAACTCCAATAAGAGTCACAAAACTATAGAATTATATGGATAAAACTGCACTAGCTTGGACTAAGAAAGACAGTTCAAAATGAAAAAACCTTCCAAGCCCCCAACTTTCTATGGGCAGGAAGCAGGCTGAGAGAGTTATTCAATTGTAAAAGGAAGGCAGTTTCTTATGAAAAAGGAAAATTGATTCAGAGGTCCTAGTCTAGACCCCAGAGGGTGGAGCTAAGAGCTACTGAGAACAATGCACTGGGAAACTATTCTGAGGGAGGCCAACCTAGGCAGTAATGGAAAACTTGATCTGCAGAGGACTGGTGACAGTGCTTGGCTGGATTTCAGAATTGCTATGAACTAATGACTACTATATGCCTTCCATTTTTCCCATTTTCAAACAGGCATGTCTACTGCAGTTATCCTATCCCTTTTTCAGCATTGTATGTTGTATATGTAACTTGTCTTTTAGTTAACAGGACTCCAGATGAAGAGAAGCTGCATCTGAAATGCCTCATCCACATCTGGGTCTAGTATTACTAGATCCTGAACCTTAACACAGATACTATACAGAATGATAGTTTTGGAGAAAGGGAGTGAGTGTGTTCTGTATGGGGTGTGTGTGTATTTTCATATATGTGCATACGGTTACTATTGTAGCTGGAGGATGGATTATGACAGACTCTTTCCTTTCCTTTTGAATCTGGGCTGTCCTTGTGATTTGCTTGGCCAAGAGAATGCAGTGGAAGTGACATTCTGGGGCTTCTGAACCCAGGATTTAAGAGACCCTGTAGTTTCTGCTATATTCTTCTTGGGATCCAGGCACTGTTAGGTTGGGCTGGACCACTGAATAATGAGCAAACACCAAGAAAGGAGGCTCCTAATCATTTTTAGCTACTCCAGCTGAGGTCCCAGGCATGCAGGAAGCCATCTTGAGTATTCCAGACCCAGGCAAATTCACCGCTGAGTAAAGCACATCTGACCCTAGCTGATGTCATGCCCAGCTGTGGCCTTCCTTAGTTGCAGAACTGTGAGGAAATAAATGGTGGTAATTGTTTTGAGCCACTGTATTAAGTGGCCCCCATGATAACAGTTTGGGTCAGACACGTGCTTTATTCATTGATGAGTCTGGCTGGGTTTGGAATGTCCAAGATGGCTTCCGACATGTCTGGGATCTCAGTGAAAGTGGCTAAAATGGTTAGGAACTCCTTTCTTGCTGTGGTTGCTCATCATTCAGTGGTCCAGCCCAAGATTCTTTACACAGTGCCTGCATCCCAAGAGGAAGACAGCAGAAAGTTTTAAGGTAATTTGTTATGCAGCAATAGATAACTGAAAACAATTATCCAGCCAGGCACAGTGGCTCATGCATGTCAGCTCAGCACTTTGGGAAGCAGAGGCAGGAGGATCCCTTGAGGCCAGGAGTTCAAGACCAGCCTGACCAACATGGCAAAAACCCATCCCTACTAAAAATACAAAGAATTAGCCAGGCATGGTGGCACATGCCTGTCATCCCAGCTACTCGAGAGGCTGAAGACGGAGGTTGCAGTGAGCTGAGATCATGCCACTGCACTCCAGCCTGGGCAATGGAGTGAGATTCTGTCTCAAAAACAAAACAAAACAAAACAAAATAATTATCAAATGTCAGGGTATTTTTTATTGCTTTACCTTTTCTCTATGGTCTGGGAAGAGTTTGGAACAATGTCAGCCAAAGAAGTCAAGTTTTCAATGCAGACTAAATCCCATGACGGTGAACACTATAGGCCATAGTAGTAGTCACTGCTCTGTCTATAGAGCTTAGAACAGTACTGCCACATAATAGGCTCCCAAATATTTGTTGATTAAATCATTAAATAAATGAATCAAGATAATATCCCCTACCCTCAAGAGGATGGACAAAAAAGATTCATTAAATGGAGTGTGGAGTCTTAGTAAGGGAAAGGAAGTAAAGAAAAAACAGATAAGCTATAAGTCTGCCTTTTTCATGGTCCAGGGCTATTTGTCCCATGCATTTTCTCTTGAAAAAGGTGCTTTTTTGTGATGCCTCAGAGGCCAGAAGGATGTTTGGAAGAGGAAAATTGTACGAGTTACGCAGAGCAGGGTCTTGGCTCCTTCTCAGTGTACCTCTACTAGACGAAATTGGGCTATTCTGCAGAGGTTGCAGTGAGCTGAGCTCATGAGGGACAAAGAAAAAAAAATTTCTGGGCTATTCTGTGAAGCACCTGGTAGGTGTCCCAATATTTGCTGGTATATGGGAATTACCTTTTACTATTATTGGAAGGTCTGAAAGCAAACTATGTGTTCCACATGGCTAGAGTTAGTTAGTATTTGGGAACCAAGTAGAATAACTGGTAGCTAATGTTAGCTTGGAGACTAATACAGTCAAAGCTGTCTTGTCATGTTAGGTCTTTTTTATTTTTAGTGCTCCATGGTCCAATATAAAATTTCTGAATGTCACTTGGACACAGTGAGTCCTTGGTCTGCTCTGTGGTTCTGAGGAGCAACGAACTAAACCCTTATTTTTCTGAGAATGATGATTTCATACAGCACATCTCTCTAACAAGATGTGAAAGATGACACCATGCCATCTGAAATATCTTCAGGAGAGATTTGGGACATGGGAAACTTATAGACAACAATGGAAAATTCTCTTTTAGAATGTAGTTCCTTGTATGACCCACAGTAGTGCCCTTTGGAGAATGTCTTCAGAAAATTATCCTTATTGAAATAACAATAATGTTTGTTATTAAGATAAATGAAATGAGGGGAAAACCTCTGCCAAGACCCTTGGCAGAATTGGTTTAAATTCAATCCAATGATTATTATATTTTTATATTCTGTATTATTTAGAAAACAGTAAACAGAAATAGAGAAGATTGTTTAAAAATTAAAGCCATTGAGTTAGATCCCTTTTTGAAAGGTCAGTGTGTGGGAGATGAGAAAGGCACTATAACAATCAGAGTGTTTACACAAAAGACATTTTAGCAGAGGACCTACAAAGAGCACATCAAGTATTTATATCATCCACATCAAGTTGCTGGTCATTTCGTTTATCAAAGAAAATAAGAAAGTTTATTTGGACATTATTTTGGCTTAGTAAAAACAGAGTTTTGGAATCAGCTGTTAGAAACTGTAATTAAAGCTGGCTTATCATGCTCACTAATTATTCTACATAGTCATCCTGAAGCTTTATATAATTCTCCCTTTGTTACAAACTTCTGCTTCTCACTATGGCATTCTGGTTCTGCATCCAGACAGGTAAAGAAATGAAGTGCTTGGAGACTAGTGTATTGTAATATCTGTACAGCCAAGCAGGTATTTTCAATTGAACTTAAAAATATATATGTATTTGAAACTTTCTTTACTTTAGATAGAGCCAGCCATTTAGGGAGAAAGGTAAAGAAAAACAAAAAAAATTGGAAAAGGATGCATCAGTATTTCTTTTAGAAACAACACTAGGTACAGGAGGAGGATTTTATTCAGCAACTTCTAATAACCACCTGATGTTGCTTGTCAGGATGGCCAAACATCTGCCAACATTGATGATCCTTTCATATACCACTAGAGAGAAGTAGAGGGACCTGATGTTTAGAGGAGCAGCAAACTATTTCCCATTTTTTTTCTTTAGCTAGATGGAAGTACTTATAGGCTGGTCTCATATTCCAGCACTTTAATGCTGGTGATGCAAATCCTCTCTGCTCCAGAGTAACTCTGCCATGGAATTGAAGAGGATCCTCTCACACCAGGAAGAGGAATGCACCTTGTTTCATTTTCCGTGAAAGCAGATTTCAGAGGTTCTCAAATGCTATGATACTAATTGTCACTTAGGGTAGGCTTGAGGGGAGGGGCAGGGTAGGGCAGTGCTAATAACAGGGACTCTGGGGACAAGATCAGCAACCTGAGAAACAAATGTGAGACATTTTACCCTTCCCTAATCTACTCCCCTTTTAAAGGTTCATCTTCATTTCCCATTTTTCTACCACACACTAGTTGATAAGCACAGCTCTGTTTTTTACCGTGCAATCTTGTAGAACACCTAGACATCATGAACTCCATATCCTTGGTTATTTGTAAAATAATGAAATCTGTAATTCACTCTAGGCTGTGTGGACAGAATCTGCATGTTTGGAAACCAACTGGAGGCCTTTCTCTTATTCTTTTCTGGTTGCTTTCCATTTCCTTTTCCACTGTGGTCCTTGGCTTTCCCAAGCTGACCAGAACTATGCACAAAACCGACCTTCAATAAATATCAACGCTGAAGCTTCAGCAGGTTGTGAACTCCTGCAGAGCTATCTTAAATGCTGTATATAAGTGCAGAGTTTTATGGAGCCTCAGAGATCTCTAAGAACACTGTAAATAGTCTAGGTTTAATTAGTAGTCCCGGAGTTAGGTAATGGCCTGTGGCTTTCTGCACTAGGTCTCTTGGGGGTGTCTAGTTTTCAGAGGTTGCCTGCAACTACGATGTGCACATTATACAGTCCTCTTTCTCAAATACAGCATAAATCCTCTTCAGACTTTCCTAGGCACCTACTCACAATTACTGAACACACATGCAGATTGATTCGCATTCTCTCAAATTTTGAAAAACAATTCTGTTCTTCAACCTAGGTCTCATTAGATATTTTTTGACTCACATTGTCGTTTGGGGTTCTACTTGCTAAGGGAAATGAAAAAACAATAAAATCCTAGACTGGTGTTGATGCTTATTCTCTTTAAGCGCGTCGACTACTTGCTTTGTAGTCCTTGACTGGTGGGGTGCGAGGTAAAATGAGTGCGATCCAATTCTCAGCATTTTTGAACTAGCTCTCTCGCGGCCACAGGTCAGCCCAATTGGGGCTGTAAGCAGAGTTGACAGATTTGTTCTGGCCTGACCACCATGGAGTAGGTTCTCGGACCAGATAAGTCACTTAGCTGAGTCTACAGTAGGTGGGGCGCGCTCACCAGCTCAGGGGTAGTGCTACTGGACATCTGTTGCAACATCGGAGAATGCAAGCTTCGGGCTGCAGCAGGAGATACCCGCGAGCACAGAAGCAAAGGGTTCATCCTAAGGGGCAGGGCATCAGCCAGGGAGAGGACCGAGACCCCTAGCGCCCAGCTCCTTTTCCCACGTTTGGGAAGGCGCAGTGTAGGTCGACCTAGAGCAAATAGTCTCAGGTCTCGGTCCTTTGGCTTGCTCTCAGGGTAGTAGGCAAGGAGTAGCAGGCAACGGACCAGCTTGGGGACTTAGGGTAGCAGGCAAGGGACCAACTTGGGGATTCTCCCCGCGTTCCGTAAGAATCGGCGGCAGCCAGCAGGCGGGGAGGCGGGGGCACGTGTTTGTAAGTGGGTGCTTGTGTAACCAGCTCCCCAAGCGCCAGCCCCGACAGCGCTCCTTCGGGAGGCTCGTGAGAACCCCTGTTTCCGCCGCGGCGAGGGAAAGGCTGGGGTCCCGCTGCCTGCACCAGGCGAGAGCACCCCGAGCAAAGGAACAGTAGTTGCCTCCGGAGGTATCACTGGGGAGTGGGAATTTGGAAAGTTCCCCAACTAGGAACACACGTGACCTCCTTCGAAAAGTAGTTCCGACTGTGGCCCGTGTATCCTTCCACCTCCTTTTGAACCCTCCTAGGTCTCCTCGCTCCGCCCACTAGCTGGGCTGCAGCTTCTTACCGTTCCGTACTTTCCACGCGGCCCGGTAACCCCGAACGTGCACGGTCCGGCCGGGGCGCGTGGATCCTCGCCCCGGGCGATCCATCCTGCCGGGTTTTCACGGCGGCCAAGGAGGGGCGGAGCTAGGTGGTCTCTAAGGACCCAGCTAGAGTCCGACGCGGCGAACTGAGTTGGAGTCTGTATGATGGGGAGAGATGCTCGACTATCCTAGGGGCCCCGGAGCGGGCTCAGGAGAGGGCTGCGAAGTGCGTCCCACTGACAGGGATCCCCGTGCAGTTCATTTAAATAGGTGCCCTTTGGGCCGTGGAAATTCAAGGCCCATGTGTTCACGTTCAGCACGCTCGGCTGAGAGCTTTCATTTTTAGGGCAAACGAGCCGAGTTACCCGGGGAAGCGAGAGGTGGGGCGCCGCAACCGAGCCGGATGAGGTGATACACGGTGAAGACACAATAGCAGGTTGCTCTTTGTGCTAATTCTGACACCTTGAGGCCACAGGGTCGTGGGGTGGGGGGGGAAGGGAGATTTCTAGGCAAAGACAGCTACAGTCAAGTCTCTGCGAACGATTGTGATCCCACAGCGGTGCAAAAGGAGAGAGCAAATGCAGGTCACGCCGCGGAAATCCAGGGGCAGAGGCAGGGGGGAGGGTATTCTGCATATCCCTATACACTGACTAGTGTGGCCACCTGGTCCTTTTCACCTGTGCACAGGTAACCTCAGACTCCAGTCAGTGACACTGCTCTATGCACCCATCTCAGCTTTCATCATCAGTCCCCCTCCCCCGCCCCGCAACAGCCTACCCTCCCTCCGGCTGCGTTTCTGGGCAGAGGCTGAAGTTTAGCTCATCCTCGCCTAGCGTTGCTGCAAAAGCAGCCGTGGCAAGTGCAGCTGCAGGCGGGCGGCTCGGAACCGACCAGAGCGAGCTTCCCCCCACCCCCACCGGCGCAGGCACACTGGGCATGCTCAGTAGAGCTTGCGGCTTGCGGGGGCTCTGCGCTCGCACCTGGAACTACAGCTCCTGCCCCCTCCTACCGCCCCGGTCGTGCCTTCCCCTCCCCCGGCGCGGTCCCGTCGGCCTCTCTCTCACCACCCGCCTCCCCTCGGTCTCTTGAGGCGCCCGGTCTCCTGGCGCGGCGGCGGAGGGGGCGGGCAGGTCGGCGGACGGTGATGTGGCGGGACTCTTTGTGCACTGCGGCAGGATACGCGCTCGGCTGCCGGGACGCGACTGCGCTCAGTTCTCTCCTCTCGGAAGCTGCAGCCATGATGGAAGTTTGAGAGTTGAGCCGCTGTGAGGCGAGGCCGGGCTCAGGCGAGGGAGATGAGAGACGGCGGCGGCCGCGGCCCGGAGCCCCTCTCAGCGCCTGTGAGCAGCCGCGGGGGCAGCGCCCTCGGGGAGCCGGCCGGCCTGCGGTGGCGGCAGCGGCGGCGTTTCTCGCCTCCTCTTCGTGTCTTCTAACCGTGCAGCCTCTTCCTCGGCTTCTCCTGAAAGGGACGGTGGAAGCCGTGGGCTCGGGCGGGAGCCGGCTGAGGCGCGGCGGCGGCGGCGGCGGCACCTCCCGCTCCTGGAGCGGGGGGGAAAAGCGGCGGCGGCGGCGGCGGCCGCGGCGGCTGCAGCTCCAAGGAGGGGGTCTGAGTTGCCTGTCACCATTTCCAGGGCTGGGAACGCCGGAGAGTTGGTCTCTCCCCTTCTACTGCCTCCAACACGGCGGCGGCGGCGGCGGCACATCCAGGGACCCGGGCCGGTTTTAAACCTCCCCTCCGCCGCCGCCGCACCCCCCGTGGCCCGGGCTCCGGAGGCCGCCGGAGGAGGCAGCCGTTCCGAGGATTATTCGTCTTCTCCCCATTCCGCTGCCGCCGCTGCCAGGCCTCTGGCTGCTGAGGAGAAGCAGGCCCAGTCGCTGCAACCATCCAGCAGCCGTCGCAGCAGCCATTACCCGGCTGCGGTCCAGAGCCAAGCGGCAGCAGAGCGAGGGGCATCAGCTACCGCCAAGTCCAGAGCCATTTCCATCCTGCAGAAGAAGCCCCGCCACCAGCAGCTTCTGCCATCTCTCTCCTCCTTTTTCTTCAGCCACAGGCTCCCAGACATGACAGCCATCATCAAAGAGATCGTTAGCAGAAACAAAAGGAGATATCAAGAGGATGGATTCGACTTAGACTTGACCTGTATCCATTTCTGCGGCTGCTCCTCTTTGCCTTTCTGTCACTCTCTTAGAACGTGGGAGTAGACGGATGCGAAAATGTCCGTAGTTTGGGTGACTATAACATTTAACCCTGGTCAGGTTGTTAGGCCATGTATTTTGTGTTTCTCTTCTGTGTATTCAACGTAGGGTGTGTTCGGCTAGACGGAACTCTTGCCTGGTTGCAAGTGTCAAGGCACCGATTGCTTTCTTAGGCTATCTATGTGGTCTCTTCCTGAGGGCTATTGTCCGTTAATACAGAATACAGTACACTCTTAGTGGATTAGCGAGCTCGGTAATCGGTCTCCTAAATGAACAAAAAAGTAGATGCTTTGAGGTTGAGCATATTTCGATTAAGTCTTGGCTTAAGCTCTAGATCAAGGGTATAGATTAGAATAAAATGAAAATTAGTGTTGCACGTACGCATATTGCATCAGAATCTTGCAGTGATTGTTTTAGTTTCCTGGGTTGCATTGATAGATTCTTTTAAAATATGACTGATTTGCATAACTTTAGAAGCAGAATCGTTTTCAGTATATATGGTGCACACTGAGAGCAAAAAGTAGTTTCGTTAATGTTTAAACTTACAATTTTGAACTGTATTTAGAAGTTTTGTAGTTTGAAATCAATAGTGCCATAATATACCTTATAAGGCGTTCTTACTAGGTCTTTGTTTTATTTACCTTTTTCTCTCCCTATGGGGTGATGTAGGATAGGGCTTGAGATTTGCACTTCAGTAGCATTTAATGTTCACTGCCCTTGTCATAGACATAGAATGGAGATTGAGTAGTTTTTGATCCCAGGTGACAATGTCGTGTAGGTTCAAGGGTATTGTGTGTAGCAAGTGAAGATTGCAGAAACTTCACTTCATGCAGAAACTTCAGTTCATGCTTGAAATTTAAGTATTATTGTGATGCTAGAATTGCTGCTCACCTTTTTTAGGTTTCAGGTCCTCTGACACTTTTTGGTATTGTTAATTTTACTGATTCGTGTAGAATGTCAAGTGTATTTTACCAGCTAATATCCAAAAATGCCGGCAAGAGGGGTTTACTCCAGCTTTAGATTGTAGATATGTTAGCTTTTTTCATACAGTATATTAAATTTACTGAGTCAGCTCGTTGAATAAGACAGAAGCCCAAGAATTATAACAGCGTATAGCTTTAGGTGTCTAAAAGTTAGGCCTTTGGGCTTCAAAAGTTAGTTGTTGTTGAAAAGCATTAATCTTTGCAGTTTTAGGTAAAACAGACTGATTTTGATTAAGAATGGGGATGGAGCCCTGTTTTTGCAGAATGGAAAGTATTGACAGGAATTGAGAGCTATTGGTAGGTCAGTGTATAAGGTATGTGAAAACAGGATTAAGTTATTGGTCTGAAGTGACTGAAGCATTTAGGCTCTATCAAGGCCTAAAATTTGGTAATGTGAATTTGGCCATACGAATTGTGGCGGCAGACAATATTTAGCTAAAATTATGTAATTGCATAAGTACTAGCAGAGTACTTTTAATAAAAATTATTTCTTAGCAAACATCAGTTGCATTTTGTTTAAAGGTAGAGTGACACTACAGTGTCTATGTGTCCTGCTAAAAATTGTGGGGAATATTTTTTTTGTAAGAAAACATTTTATATAGGGAGAGGTTTTATTCCCTTGGATTATGTTAGCTGCATATAAATGTGCACAGTTAATTTTGCCCATGTTTTTGTTTTGAAATGAATGTAAAACTTACTGAAGAAGTAGCTTTCCAAAATTTAGTTTTCTGTTAAGTCAAAAGTGGTATTTTAAAAGAGTATTTGCAAAGTTTGAAGTCTGCATTAATTGAAAATGTTACTAAGGCTGAACTGGACCCGCTTTCCCAAAAGATAATTATGGAAAAAATTCTTTTGTGACTTCCAAAGCAGTCTTCTATCAGCAGGAATTACTGACAGTCATCCAAATATATAGGAACAAAAAATGAAATGTTTATGTAACTTTAAAAACCTCTGAAGAAATTACTAGAATGCTGTCTGGGAGACAGATTTCTTTCAGCATTTAAAGTACGTACATTTACGGCATTTAAAGTGTTACTTTTACTTTTCCCACTTGATTTAAAATTATCTGGGTTATTAAGACCTTAAAATTATTTTACCAGGTTCTTTCATATGAGCTGTGACGTGATTGGCATTTTCTTTGATTTCAGAGTATGTGGGCCTCTACACATCAGATTTATGTGACTTAAAACTTTCTCTAAAACTGTACTTTTAGTTATGATATGCATAGAAAGCAGTATCAAATACTGCATCAAATGACTAATAACACTTAATTTCTAGAGTTGTGGTTTTATTGAACCCTAAGTTGATATGAAAAAAAGTCAGTAAGGAAAGTCAATGAAGTACTTGCTTTTTTGATACTTGCACTCCCAATAATTTTTATATTCCAACCTACTTGGTTTGCTTGTTTTCACGTTAGTATTTTTCTGTTTATTGGGGTGGGAAGGGATTAAACTGATCATTCAAGACTTTGTCTTTGACAGGTTGTAGTATGTGTTTCAGCAACTAACCTGTGAAAAGTTAAATTCCTTTATGAAAGTAGCGATTGGAGTATTTTTATCTGATAAAGAAAGATTAATAATGAAGCCATTTCTCCAAGGAAATTGAGGACAATAATTCAGTTTTAAAATATTATCACAAAATTAAATTCTAAAAATTTCTTACTAGGGTTTTATACTTAAAATTAGTCTGAAATATAGTACTGAATTTGAGACTATAGAAATATTTAGTGTATTTAGGGTATGTGAAAACTTTACGCTTCTGTTGTGTTTTTATTGTTTGGTAGATTTGCATCTTTTCAAATATTAATCTTCACAGGGAATGCTTTTAACTTGTATAGAGTACAGTGACTATTGAAGTCACCTAAATTACATCAAGGTAAGTGATTAT